GTGTTTTTCGTAGCCTAGTCAGAGAGTTTACACGCACACACACACACACACACACACACACACACATACGGCTTTTGAATGGATGTTAAGATTTATGTATGAAACAGGTGCTCAAGTTGGTCCGTCTCTGCACTGCTTGAGATTCCTACCTCAACATCTACGCAGCCTCAGCTGTTGCTTTGGCTGAGAGTCCTCCTGCATGATACAGATATTTCCACCTGAAGGAGCCAGCCATCACACTGATTTTAATTCTGTTATGTATAATGCATGGTCCCATTTTTAGGCACGCTCATTTAATCAGGCTAATTAAGTTGAGGTGTCCCTATTCTTAGTCAGTCTCGGCTCTTCCTGTCTGCAGTTGCACATCCCAGGTGTTAGACCAGCATCAGAACTAACCTCTGCACACAGTGTATTTATTTTTATTCCTTCTCCCTGTCAGATACCATTGAGCCAACACACCTTAAAGGCAGGAGAAGTTGTGGAGCTTGAAGTTGATTTGGATTTTACTGCATCCAGGTCCATTATTGGTTTTGCTCAAGGGTCTGATTGTTTGCAATTGATTGTTCCAGTAGACGTCTTTTATGCTTGTGTGAAGGAAAATGTACTGGCCGTTATTACTTTAAGCCCTATGCATGTGATCAATTTCAATAAGGCTTTATCAGCTGGTGCTATTTAAGGGTTCGAAGTTTTCTTGGTTCTTATTTTAAGACTTAAAGATTGAGTCTGCTATTGCCAGTCAAATGCAACATTGCATCCACCTCTTAGAGGAAAACAACACAAGGCACGCATACCAGAGACTCTAAACATTAGGTGTGTGTCCAGTCACCTCTTTTTATGTGCACTTTCAATTTGTGCATAAATAAAAAAACCTGAGTGGAAAAAAATTTATCTTGAACTATCGCAATTAAGTTTTTATGCTTGGAGGAGATGGAAAAGTTGCTGTATTGATTAAAGGAAAATGGGACCAAGTGCAATGGAAACAGACTTAGGAAATAAATGATGCTGTACAGCCACGACATACAGCAGTGGTTTTCAAACTTTTTTTTTCCAAGATATGTTTTTTGGGGCATTTTTGCACCCAAAAATGAAAATTCAGCCATTATCCCCATATGCCAAGGGAGGCTCAGGTGAAGTTTTAGAGTCCTCACGACACCTGCGGAGATCCCAGGGGAGAGTGTGTAGCAACACAACTCCACCTAATGGAGGCTTACGGCGCCCCAGATTCAAACGTCCAAAAACACATAATTGAAACCACAAAATATCTCCATACTGCTCGTCCATCGTGATCCAAGTGTCCTGAAGCCCCGACATAAAAAGCTGTTTGGAAAAAACGTCATTTGAACTCTGTTTTTACGGAGATATTTTGTGGTTTCAATTATGTGTTTTTGGATGTTTGAGTCTGGGGCACCGTAAGCCTCCATTAGGTGGAGTTGTGCTGCTACCCCCTCTCCACTGGGATCTCCGCAAGTGATGTTAGGACTCTAAAACTTGACCTGAGCCTCCCTCGGCATATGGGTGTGTAGATTATGGCTGAATTTTCATTTTTGGGTGCACTATCCCTTTAATTGATAGGACAGTTCAGCGTGAAAGGGGGAGAGGGAGAGAGAGAGTGACATGCAGCAAAGGGAAACAAGCCGGAGTCGAACTCCCCGCTGTGGCAACAGCCTTGTACATGGGGTGCCTGCTCTATCCACCAAGCCACCGATGCCCCGTTTTTCAAACTGTTTCAAGCCAAATTCTCAAGGCACACCTGTATTTATATCTCTGCACTCTTATCACAATATAAGACAATAACAACAGGAAAAAATAAGACCGGTAGCTTTTGTGATACTGTCTACTGTTTTTTTTTTCTCTTTTCTTTCAGTGGTAGGTCGTCTTCACTGGTGCTTTGTTGTAATTTGCTCCCTATAATTAAGCGATCAATTTTTCCTCTCATGGCTTTCTCCTTTTAAATGTTCCCATCCCTCACACTGGTTGCCAATCAGGGCTTTTGATGTGTCACACTCTTGTGATTCCCATGTACAAACGGCGACAAATAGGTTCTTTAAATTAAATTAAATTACATTTTTTTAGCTAGAGTTTGCCTCTTTATTAGGAAATGGGTGCACACAACATACTGATACAGTCAATTAAAAATTCATTCATAACTTTTTGTACAAGTCCAGTTGAATATTGCAATAAGAATGTGTGGTTATCACAAAATCACACACACTATTTGAGAACCACTGACATACTGTCATTGTATAGTCCATAGCGAGCTCTCTGTCGTCCCTGGATGGCTTTTAACGTGCTTATGCACATAGGGCTTACACAACTCTTCCAATAGCAAAAAGCTGTAATATTAGTTGTTAAAAACTCCCCAATTTCCATTGTCTGGTGTGCTCTCCATTATTATACACTTGTTATTTTCCTTCGTTGAGGCTTCATCCCCCAACTACTGTTGAGGCTCTGCTGATATGAAATTCCTACTGATGAGGAACCAGACCTTTTCCTCTTTCACTTGAATTTCTACAGTATTATTAAGTGTGATATCTTAATGAACTGAACAGACACCAAAGCTTTTAAAAAAGTGTTGCGTCACACCCTTCTGCAGCAGTATACCACTCTTGCCAAATTGGGCCAAACAGGACAGGAGAGGGATGTACTCTAATTACTGGAATAAGGGTGAATAATGAAGCCTCATTATTTCTGTGATGTGATTATTGAGAGGATGGTACAGAAAGAAAAAGCTTCTCCTTTCCCCCAAAAGAAAGATTAACAAAAAATGCAGTTTTATAAATGGCCCTTGGTTCTTCTAGTTGTTGCACATTGATTTATGATTTCTTCTTCCAGTGAAATGTTTGTGCAGGAATGTGCTTAGCAGGGCATGTATGAAATACTGTATGTCTGTCGGATGGTTTTAAATCAGCCTTGCATATATTTTCCCTCTCCATTATCCCTTTTTAATTAGTATCTCACGTAACATTGGGCCGGGGTGTTGCTTCATCAATATTGTTCAGACAAACAAGGACAAAAGAAAATCATAGCTATTTATAAAGCAATGATGCTTTCCAAATCAGGAATTGGAAATGCATAATTAATTATCAAAACATGTCAGAATGTGTTTTATTTTAGTTGTGTGCATTTCCTTTGGTTGAACGGCTTGTGTTTGTGTTAAATTAAGGCTAAAGGTTATAAAATGTAATTAGGATTTACTGCAGCATGACTAATGTACAACATTAAGTAGCTGGGTAAGAGTGATGGTGTTACTTTGTTAATTATTTTTTGCCTTAGATGTGGGGGATGTAACATCATGCAATCTCTGATAGGGGCTCCTCCTCCTAATCAGCAGTCTGAGACAAGAAAGAATATAAGCTGGGCTTTTCCCTAATGCCTTGAATAAATTCAGGACCGAAAATTAGGTGTCAAATAGATGCAAGGCCATGTTGGTAATTGATGTTAATTCCCCACTTTTCAGTTTCTGCGTATTCTTTCATGTGCAGAGTCTCTTGTGGAATTTTGTGTGTAAATCAGTGAACATTTTTCTAAAGTGGAATAAATGATTTTTTTGATGATAAATATCCATCTATCTCCATTAACTTTAGCTTATATTGGAGTTATGATATGTAGCATGTGAGATAAGGTATAGTGAATGTGCTAGGAAAGGTAGTTTCGGCACGGTCACTACCTGGAGCTCGCATAAACGGAGCCTGGGTTTGTTGAAGTGCTGTTTGGACTGAGAAAGCCATGTGTAAGTAAGGTCAAGGAGGTTGTTGGGTCGGTGTGGGGAGCAGTCAGAGCTGGCATTAGGAGTGTCTCTGGGATGCCAGAGATCACTGTGTAGCCTCCTGGAGGTGTCGTGGGACCAACTAGACAAAACACTGGTGAAAGGAGGTTCCCACGTGATGACCCCAAAGACGTGTTAGTTATCTCTGCTCATTGGTGTGTATAGTTAAGCCTTGCCATAATAGCTTATCATAGGGCTTAGGAAGTTATTCACCGAGTGCTGATCCTTTATCTAGAGCACATATTTCTTGTGTTTGTTTGAACCCAGAGACCAAACTTAGTGAGCTCTGGACACAGATGAGAAGACTTATTTCATAGGACAGGCAGTAAAATTGTGCATGAAAAAGTTTCTAGGTTGTCAATATACACCTTTTGTTTCTTGTGTACTTGTGAGCTGACGGGTTTTGCTGCAGCTGTTCCACTTCCAGGGAGAGCTCAAGTGCCTCTGAGAAACGAACCCCCGCCCAGACATTTCGGTGACTTTATGAGTGGGTTTGGCCATCTTTAAGTGTCTGTATCTTCTTTAATCTTTTGTAGCCGCTGCCAATCTTGGCTCAGCCTTCCCCTGACCGAGTCTGAACTTCTGCTCTGTGGCACTGCTGTCAAGGCAACATGCAGCCGATTCAGACTCCCAGACGCCAAGTGACAACTTCTTGGAAGGCAAGAAAAGAAGTTTGAGGTGGTGGCTTAAGTTTGACAGGGTTAATTTCAGTGACGGTGACTAGTTATTGTCTCATCAGGTTGTTGGTGATGCATTTAATGTTGGCCATTAACAGGGGATATAGCTAATGTATGCGTGAGAGGAAATCGTCCGTTTTACCGCTGTACTTGCCTTTGAGGAGCTATAATGTATTTTTTGCAGGTGGTAATGCAGACAGGCTATAATATTGGGTCTTTTAGTCCCTTTCCGCCATCCAATATATAACCACACCATTACTAATGCACAGCTAGGTGTTCATCACCATGCACAGTTTACCCACTCAATGGGGATCCTGAAGCATTCGTGCCTCCGCTCCTAAAGCACTAATACATTTTGTTTGCTCTAGCTCCCCGGGTCTGCACCTCTGAGAGCATAGATGTATTTAATAGCAGCAGCCATTATGAAGTAATCAATGGGATTGAGTGTATGCTCTGAAGTGCTCTCACTTTTCCTCTTGCTGTTGGACAAAGAAGGTTTTCAAGAAAGCTTAGAATTTACTGTTTTTGTGTTTGTTTTCTTTGTCTGTCTACTGCAGGTTGCTCTCCATGCATGTGGAGTCGCAACAGACATGGTGATGGAGCACTGCATTCAGGCAGGAGCCGCCTTTGTCATCAGTCCTTGCTGCTACGGCTTCATTCAGAATGCATTCAAGTTCACCTTTCCCAAGAGGTTGGTACCTGCACACAGCGCCTCAGTCCAGTGTCACCCCTCAGGTTTTCCAACCCTTGTTTTCTTGTTAGACATCTGCTAACACTGGTGCTTCTCCTCTCTCCTCTCCCATTCTCACTTAGTGATTTTTTTTCTCCCCCCAGCTTCTCTTTTGGGGCTCTCGCTCTTTATCATTTTCACACTCGCTCTCACACTCGCTATCTCACACGTACACACAATCTCTGTCTCTTGTCACTGCTTTTTGTTCACCTCCCGTGCCTTATCATCACCACCGACGGTACAAGGCAGCAGTGTCACATTGCCTTCACAACAAGGTCCGCCCCTCACCTTTTCAATCTTAGCCCGTGTTCTATCAGCAACAGAGAATACAGCTCTGTGTGTAGATGCTGTCTTTGATATTTCAGAGAGACAGGGAAATTCAGTCGGTGGTCCAGACATGAAATGCTACTCCTGTGTTGATATTACTTTATCTTACATAGTGCTGCAGAGAATTAACTTAATGTTCAGTTGTGGTGATGCTCTTTAAATAGAGACAGGAGAAACAAACAACAGCGGAGAAGTAGAAGTGACAGCCTATATTTAAATGGTGTTGATCCTGTTGCTATAGCAGCGCTCTGTTGACTAATGGCACCGTTACGGCTTTAGAATCATTACAAGGTAGTATCCTGTTAGAATCACTTTGCACACTGAAGGCTTTAAAACACAACACTGTTGTGTAGAATCGCTGTTGTAGCAACTGAGAGACTGTGATTACTAGCAATTGTGATTGTTGGGCAGATTATAGTTATGATTTTGGCATCAAGACTGATCGGACCAGGCCGGGCCAAGTCTGTTCTCGTCTGGGATAATCGCTGCCCACTGTTCTCTTTATGGTCACTTTAAGTTATAATGGGGACATCACGTCAGGTTTCAGTGCAGAGTCACAGGTCTTTGCATATTTTTCCCTCCTCTGTCCATCCAACCATTCAAATTTAGCATTTTGTTAGAGTCTACTTTCTGGCCTGGGTCCAGACCTTTGAATCGGCCCACTCCACCAAGCTGACTGATTGGCCTGACAATGTGACATGCACTAGTGTTTTTTTGTAGTCGAAAAAAAAACCCCGCACCAACGAGCACTGCAGTGGGACTAATGATTAGCCAAACTGATGCCCTTGTCAAGCAGTTGTCAAGCAATGCGACGAGTAGTTACAACAGTGGCAAGCACTATAGTATATAGGCCTATATTTTATCTACAAGTGCACGTCACACACTGAGCGACCCGCCTGTTAATGATGCTGTCAGCAAAGCAGTAATGATTAGCGGCTAATGGGCATGTAGCTACTTCCATGTTTCAGATGATACGTCATGCTTGTAGTCGACCAGTGAAGATGAGTTTACATATCACCTTGGGTTCGTCCTTCACCTTCTCAAAATGATCCCACACTTTGGATTTCATGCCCGACATGTTATTAACTAGCCTGTGAAATAACCACAGGTACCAGCCAGGAGATTAGGGGTCGTACACGTCGCGTCTTTAACCACCTGGAAAATGTGAGGTCGGGCGCAGGGTGCAACTCTTTTGCCTTTTTTGTGCCAGCTTTCAAGACCACGGCGACAGGTTGCATTCGAGGTTCCTAAGCAAAGCTCTGGGTAGCCCTGCACTAACATGATCAACTTTTCCATATTTATCTGACTGAATCTTTACGTAAGAAGGGAAAGATATCTGTCGGCTGTGAGTGGTTTGTAACCTGACTCCTGTCTGACTGCTGAGCCCGGCCACTTCCTGTGTCTGTCCTTTCAAATGAAATTCCCACATGGTTCAGTCATATAGGTTTTGATTTATTTTGACAAAGCTCACCTCCTAATAGAGTTTCACATTTGTTTTGTTTTTTTCTTCAACTAAGCGACCAATGAAATCTTGCCAACTAATGACCTTTCTGGTCGACTAACGTTTGGTCAACTATTAGGGGGCAGCCCTACTGATGCCATTGTTTTTACTTTGTTTTGCTCCACTCTTAAAACCCCAGCAAAGCCAGTACATTGGCATGGTTACAATCAGTGTGGACTTCAGACGGATACGTGGGTCCCTAGTGATCGGTCAGAGAAAATCGTATCCCCCTCCTTCAAAAGAATCAGTCAGAATGGATGCAGTGCTGGACTGGAAACGGAGCAACATGAGTTGACAGTTCTCTCTGATATCAGGCAGACAGCATAGCACTAGTCAATGGTTGTATGCCTCTGGACAGCAGTACCTGCCAGTGAAATAGAAATGATAAGCTACAGTACATGTAAGGCATGCACAGTGCATTGGTATAATAAAGTAGTCATTACTAGCAGTGGTATTTGTCAAGAAAAAAACTATATGTCGGTGAGACTGAGTATATTAGAGCGGAAAATGAGTGGCATTATGTGTATTAGTGCCATAAGCCTGCAGAGCGGGAGCAGCATACAAAGAATTGACATAGTTACCACTCAGAATTGGCATATGCCATGAGTACAACTGCAGCATAGCATCAGTAGCTTTTCCCTCGCAGTGTTGCTGTCAGTTATAATTTTTGGGTTCATTACACCACAACTAGTAAGATTGCCAGGACTTTAACATAAGAGCACACTGATGTAGAGTAGTGGTTAAACTATGCAGTGTTACTACGTTTCAGGTGTTCTGATATGTGAATTTTAAGGGACACAGGAGCCTTGGGGAGGGCCCTCAGTGTACAGTATAAATATTGAAGAGTTTTCACATACTTAGTTTTTCCTCTCCTCGCTTTTGCTAACTTGACACTTCACCCCTCCTGACACCTCATAAAATATTAAAGAATGACCAAAAAAAAAAAAAAAGACTTTGCAGCCGAAATGGACAACAAGAAGCTGTGTTTCTGGAGGGCAGTCGTGCAGTTTATGTGAGGGGCCTACGCACCTGACTGTGTCAATCTTCATCTTACTTCTTTTAGTGTTTTCCCCTCAGGTCATGTTCCAGGTACTCATGTGGATATTCTGCAGGTGTAGACATTCCAGGCAGTTCACGGATTTTTATGAGCTGTGAAACTAAACTGCCCTTCTCATTAAGGCCCTAACAGTTCGAGTTCAACCTAAGACTCTCCATGTGATCTGAGTGGCCCCCAACCCCTGACCGTCCTCATGTTGACTTTTAATTAGCTTCAGTGATGATCAGATTGCGTTTAACCATCTCAAACAAACTGTCCCATGTCATAGCAAAAGCCGTGTTTTTAGAAGTCCTTCCTTCCTAGAGAGAAAGTGGTTTCTTTTAGTGACTATGCATGTTGTTTGAGCCTTAAATGTAGTTATATATTCCTAGTTTGTTTGTATAGTGATTTCCTCTAAAAAATAAAATCTCCATCCTCGAGCTGGGCAAGTTAACAAATGACACATAAGTGCACAATTGAATCTCTGCACTTTAACATCTAATCATCTTCTGTTTTTTTGTGCTCTGTTTTTACAGCAAAAGGTTCCAAGAGACGCTGACTTATAAGGTATGCTCTTAAATGTGATTAAATCCCTCTATTACATTTACTACTCATTTGCACGCTGTAAAATGTCAAGCACGGAGTATTGAGTTACAGCAACTCCGGTTTTACAAGGACTGTGTTTCAGATTCAGGCCACCTACTGTATATGCCCATCGAAAAGACGCCTTTGTGGGTCGTGACTTATTCTAAAACACTGTGTTCATTAGAGTCTAACATATGCTGTTGCAACAAAATGAGACAAGTTTTTCTCTTTGCTAATTGCTTCTTAATTAAGATGCCGCTGCACCAACAGAGGTGTAATGAAATCAGAGGCATTAGGTTTGGAAGTTACAGTATCATATAAATGGATAAGAGTGCAGTGACCCATTGAGAGGTGAAATGACACACGTGTCGCCACCTGGCAAACACAGAAGCCAGGAGAGAAACAGATAGATGTTCAGACTAATGGGGAAAAAAACGAGAAGCAGAGACATGGTTGCACCAGCAATTGTAAATCCACTAGTGACTACTGGCGAGATTCAAACTAGTGATTTGCTAGTGATGTTGCTCTATTAAAGGGAAACTACGCCCATTTTCAAAATTCATTTTTTGTTATTCCTTTCGTCTAAGACAGTCCAAAAATATTAGTAAGCATGAACAACTCTCTCATAAATCCAAAATTTTGAGTGCTAAAACTCAAATTTGTGATGTCACAGGGTGTAACGTTTGGAGCTCCTCTATAGACAATGAATGGTGAAAGATGTTCTCGATGACACTGAAAGCACCCAGGGGAATATTCTGAGTGTATGGGTACATTTTCTGTGTCAGGACTGAGAACGCTACTATATATTAAAGCTAATTTGGGTATAAAAAAAAGCAAACAAACATTCTGTGGGTCCACAAAATCAGTCTCTGATTCATTGTCTGTGGAGCAGCCCCGGACTTTATACTTGATGACATCACAAGTTTGAGACTTTAAGACTTTGAGACTAAGGGCCTGTCCCAATACCCACACCTCCCCTAGAAATACCCACTTGCACAAACAGAATTGAGGTAGTGGAAGTTTCCAACACTTAAAACCCGCCCTAGATTCCAAGGGAGCCCCGACCCACACTTGCAACGAAGTGGAAGATGAAATTTCCCAGAACACCTTGCGAAGTCAGCAATTCGACAAGTTTTGGAAAACAACTTGTTAGTGTACGATTGGAATGTAAGCTATACAAACAACAGATGGTTGGACTAGCGTAAACTCATCAGCAACTCGGTTGAACACAGCCTCAAAATACGTAAACGAATCGACTTAACTGAACAAAATCAATCAGAACTAGAAGACGGTGTAGCACATAGCACATGTCACAACACAAGCTGACTGCCGGTATCTTCCGTCACTACTACGCAACGTATGCCTTCATGTCGGCCACGGCAATTTGCATGAAGTGGTGTCTCATTTCTTAGGGGAAGATCTCTACCCTAGTATTTCTCACTTGCCTCATCAAGGGTTATCTCGCACACGAGGGCACTCAATACCAAGTGGAAGATTTAAGGGGTAAAAATGGGATTGGGCCTTGACTAAGTAGTAGCCTACTAAGTAGGACTTTAAGACTTTATAAAGAGTGCGTGCAACCGCCTACTTTTGTTATTAGGTTACATGTACGAAAAATTTAAAACACTGAAAGCTGATTGTCATGACTTTATTTTACTGGGCATGAGTAAGAGCTTGTGTCTATATTGTTTTCCTGTTTTGTTACTTATTTATTTATTTTATGGCACAGTAAAAAATAAAAAAAAAATTATCAGATGTCTGCGCTCTCTTCACTGTCTTAGAAACGAAAGATTCCCCAGGCAGTTACAATAGGGAGGCTCACACCCTCCCGTCTCTCAGTCCCTTATCGCTCAGCACAGACACGGCACTGTACTCTGGGAGGGCCCAGCCCATGATGATGTATGGGACCTGTCAGTGCCCCTGGGGAGAATCTGTGCAAAAGTTGCTGCAGGTCTTAGCCATGGAAACCTCAAGAGTTGACTTGTCACAACAACGGACCACCTCAAACTTCTTTTCTTTTGTGCACCAGAGGAAACAGATTTTTACAGACGTGCCTTGAGAGGCACAGAAGATTATATATTATTTATGAGACAGTGGGCGATTGCACTGCTCTGTGATAGTGGTGATTTTTCCACTGTTTGTTCAGAAGCCAAGTAAGCAAAAAGAAATCACAGCTGCGTTACTATCTGTCTGGAAATGTGAAGCTACACATGTAGCCACACAGCAGTAGAAATCTATATTCTATTTAAACCAGCAGACACATTATCTGCCACTTTAAACCTGAGCTCTGGATCTTGCCTGCCTCCCCCTATGGCTTTGCTTTCAACAACCACGTTTGGTATTTGCTATTCATTTGGACTCAGGGCATAGAACCCCACTGTTTTCTGTGTCTCTGCTCCCAAGCCCCCAGCCGACGCTTGCAGACATAAAAGCAGCATTACATTGTTTTATAGCAGAACCATAGTTGTCCTTCCTGAACTCGAGTAGTTAAACAGAATGACAGCATGTTGACGAATGGTGTATCGCTGGAATAAAGGGCTAATGGTGTGAGATATTGGTGCTCAGCGCTAACTTTAAGCACCTGCTCCATGGCCTTGCATTCAGCGTCGACCTCGTGGAGTGAGGAATCGAACCAATTAAAGTAGAGGCAAGTTAGAGCTGACTAACCGCTCTCCCCATTCACTCGTTTCATGAACCATGGCGAGGTGAAAACAGGGCAGAAAAACCTGTCCTTTAGTTGGAAATAAATAATCAGACTTAATCTGGCCCTTTTTGTACAGGGCTGATTTTATTGAAAGAATCTTAGAATCTTACACTGTGGTTGACGTAAAACTTACCATGCAAATTAAGTCCTTTGTAATTTTTGTTTCCCCTTTATAACTGGTCTGACATACTGTTAACTTGTCCACAAATGATGTACACAATACAGAGGACTGGTCAATCACTGTTACTCAGTCCAGTGACACTGTAAAGAGACAATTTAGTGAAGCAAGGCTGAGAGTCTACAGCCATGCAAGTGGCGCTGAGAAGCTGTATGCTATTATCAGCATGCTATCACAGTGACATTGCTAACATGCTGATGTTATAGTAGGTAATATTTGCCAGATTCATCGTTGGAGTTAACTTAAACGCCAGAAAAAATGTTTGCATTGTACAGTTCTTCATACCACAGATGCCTTACATTTGTATGTTATGTTTAGTGGATACATTAAAACTTTACATCTCTCAATAATGCTGTTGTGAGGGTGTGGTCAGTTTTAGGCTTAAAAAACGGTTATAGTTAGGGGAAAAAAACATGTTATGACTTAATACACCACATTCAAGGGCTCAAACCCAGCTGGAAACCTCTGTGATTTGTCGGTGACAAACACAGAGGTTCTTTGGCTCAGTTGTAGGGTTGCAGTGGTTTCAAGGTTTATTGTTGTATGAACATTGATGGTTATCATACTGTGAACTTTTGCCCATCTATGGTATTGAAAAAAATGTAACCATATGAAGAATCTCACCTTTGTTTTATTTTATTTATTTTTTTTCAAAATGGAGATTTTTTTACTCATACTTCCCTTAAAAAATAGGCTTCAAGTTTCATTTATAATAAACCGTTTCTTCAACCAAAAAAAAAAAAAAAACTGGAACATGGAAGGGCAGACAGGTGTGTTCTCTCTGCCTTATGCTTTTCACGTAGGCGCGTGGAAGAGGCTTTCTGCCTAGGCCCCAGAACAGAGCCATACCGCCAAATATAATACTGTGCCAAATATAATACTGCAAATGGAAATAAAGTTTTCTTTGACAAAAGTGTTCCTGACTGAACTAGGCGTTCACCAAGGTATTAAATTTGGTCTCCAGTTTGAAACAAGGTTCCTGGTATTTCATCCAGATATATTTTTTTTTATTTTTGTCAAGATATATTTTGCATAAAACCAAAAACGTCAACCTGCTGATGGCACTAGAGGAAAAGTCAAGGGATCACCAGATTCAGTGGGACTCATTCTTTATGGAATATGAATGTCTTCACAAAAATTGTGGCGGTGCATCCAGTAGTAGATACTTCAGTGTGAATCAAAGTGGTGAACTGACCAACCTGGCCATCCCTTGAGCTAAGTTTATTCAGTTTAAGTTTATTCACTTTATTAATCCCTCTGAGGGGAAATTCAATGTTTTCACGCTTGCTAATGTCAATTACACACAGGTCTGAAAGACACACACATGCACAAACAGGACCTATACATGCACAAAGTGGAGAGATGTCAGAGTGAGGGGGCTGCCCTTTGGTCAGGCGCCCCGAGCGGTTGGGGGGTTCGGTGCCTTGCTCAAGGGCACCTTGGCAGTGCCCAGGAGGTGAACTGGCACCTCTCCAGCCACCAGTCCACGCTCCACTTAATAGACTAGGGATCTGCTGATGGGGTTTTCTTACCTCTCATGCTGCCTCTTCCCAGCTCTAAGTGTGCATAAGCAGATGTAGAAAAAAAGTGGATGAACAGATAGAACAAACCCATGCATGCTTGTGTGCATGTGCATGCATAATAGTTTCACTAAATGGCCCATTATAAAAACCAATCTTGTGGAACTCTTTAAATCTCTGCTTGATCTGATTAGTGATTTAGTTGTGATTGCAGTTGTAGGGCTTTAACATGAGGTTTTGAGACTTGACAGATGTCATCCAGAGATTTAGTGGTTGCATTAATTACACCTGCAGTAAACAGATCCTGTACTCATTGTTCACCCTTGTTTTAGGAACACATGATCCTCTGTCGCTTCGCAGACCAAACTGCTGTCCAGCTCCCTCCTGAGAGGCGACTCATAGGTACTGTTTGCGATCTTCTCCTTTTACCTGAACATTCATTTAGTTCTATGGTTTTCTATGGTATTTAATTCAGTGGTATTGTATTGTAATGTATTGTATTTTTTTTTTCTATCTGTTAGTTGCATTCAGGAGCTAGACACAAAAAAATGACAGTTGTGACAATTAAATGTGAATTGATTTACCTTTCATATGTCTAGGGCTGGGTATTGGTCCTAGTTACCTTTAAGGCAGTGGTTCCCAACTGGTCCAGCCACAGGGTCCAGATTTCGCTTTAGTCATTTGTTCAAGGTCCACGCACTTACATATATTCAGTGTCATACTTGCTTTTGGCCATGTCAGTGAGCTAGTTTGCTGTCACTGTCAAGTAGCTTTCCGTTAGTCACTCACTCTACAGCAGGAAACGACACTTAAAATTAAAGTGCTGTGATGGAAATTCAGTGTTCTTCACTGTACTAAATTAAAATGTGTTTTCTTTTACAAACTTGACACTTTCATGAGTCACTTGCGGTCCATTCAGAGTGGACCAGTGACCCACTAGTTAGGAACCAATGCTTCAAGGTATTGACCAAAATAACCCAGGACTAAATATTATCTTAACTTCTCCCGTCAAACAAAACTTACTTTCAATCCTATGTATACTCCGATCCAGAAAAACAGACTATGTGTATGGTCTTGCCTGCAATCACCGTATGCGTTCTTTGATTTAATGCAACATGTGATTGGCCCACTACCGCAGCAGCTACAACCCATACAGCCTGTGGTGGTATGAAGGCCAGAGCAGTATATTTGATGGAGCTATTAGTTCAGTGTGCTGAGATGCCACCAAAGCATTGGAAACTACGGCTTTACTACATGCCTTAGTGTCTGGTGGTATTTTATGCAATAAAATTCTTCCATTTGCCTGATGAGTATCTAATGAAATTGAAAAAAAAAAAAAAATCAAATAAATTACTCTGTCGGTTTCTGTATCGCTTTAAAGGTACAGTGTGTAGGACTTGGTGGCATCTAGAGGAGAGGTTGCAGAACTGAAACTTCTACTGTGTCGAGCATGTAGGAGAACTATTTTGGTTGACATGAAAACATGAAAGGCCCTGTCTAGAGCCAGTGTTTCATTTGTCCATTCTTGGCTGCTGTACATGGTGGACTCAGTGGGAGGACCTGCTCCATATATAGACATAAACAGCTCTTTCTAAGGTAACTAAAACACAAAAATTCATATTTTCAGGCAATTATACACCAAAGAACATATACTTATTATATTATATCCCTTTTCTGCCAGTATATCCCCCTAAATCCTACACACTGGACCTTTAATCAGTGAGTAATCTTCATGTAAATGCTGATAATCAGCATTAAAATAATCATGGATTAACACTGATGCAGAATCTGCTCTTTGAAACTCAGTGGACTCTCCTCACCCTTCGTGCTGGTTTTTCAAAGCAGCTCCAAACTGAACAATTTGTCACTCGCAGAAAACCTCTACCAAGAAATAATGGTGCTTTCACTGATTTATTATTCAGTTCAGGACCTTTAAATGTTTGAATTTTCTGCTTTTCTGTGTTTTACATAATTGTTAACTGACTGCTTTTGGGTTTTGAACTTGGTCTTACAAATAAGCTTTTTTAAGACTTCACCTTGGTCTCTGAGAACAAAAAAAAATTCACATCACAAAAAAGTCTATATTCTGCCAGAGTAACCCCCGACCATGCCAGCTCATAATCCCACTTGTAGTGTCCAGTTTGACTCATGTAGTCCAGTGTGACAGACACCAGCATGGCATATGTGATTTAATTTTTGTCACACCTTAACAGCTGTTCTAGGACATGACAGTGTTTTTATTCGGAAATCTTCTACACTGTGACCTAACTCCACTGCTCCACTTTTCCAAAAGGTCTAGACTTCTGAGGAGTGTGAAAAATGTTAATGCGGGGATTTCTTCAGTGTGACAAAACAGCTGCAGTGAACAGCTGCCAGATCTGCGCTGTCGGATTCAGATGGAAGTGTTTTGTCAGACTGAAACCTTCAGGCCTGTGCTGAAGCTTCACTGTACAGTGTTTCATTATGTTGAGAACTCTCTTCACCCTGATAGTTCTCCAGCTTATCAAAGCTCCCCTCTGAATCTGAGGAGGCTCCCCAGTGCCTCGTCAGTCTGAAGCCCTTTCATATGTACCTGACACCACCTGTCACTGCGTTTCTGCTCTGTATCAGTTAACAGGGCTCAACCTCTCCCACTAACCATGTTTGATCCCATCTCTCCAGAGCCTGCCACTGTGACTGTGACCATCCAGGCAGCATGGGAAACCAAAGCTCACATTTAGTGTGTCTGCCACCTGCTAAACTGCATAATACATTTGAAGTCTGTCTTCAAGGGAAATCCTATGAGAAAAGCGTGATAATCAGCGTAAAGTTGTTGATGTATAATTGGCTTCTGTAGGGTGTAGCCTCAAGTGAATGCTGGGAAATGGACAAAAGACACTAACAAGAGTGCCTACAATATGCAAACCAAGACAGCAGCACTATAAGGAATGCTGTTTGATTGTAGCCTGACTGATGTATTGATCTGCTGATATTGGATTTGACATACAGTACAGGCCAAAAGTTTGGACACACCTTCTCATTCAATGTGTTTTCTTTATTTTCATGACTATTTACATTGTAGATTCTCACTGAAGGCATCAAAACTATGAATGAACACATGTGGAGTTATGTACTTAACAAAAAAAGGTGATATAACTGAAAACATGTTTTATATTCTAGTTTCTTCAAAATAGCCACCCTTTGCTCTGATTACTGCTTTGCACACTCTTGGCATTCTCTCTATGAGCTTCAAGAGGTAGTCACCTGAAATGGTTTTCCAACAGTCTTGAAGGAGTTCCCAGAGGTGTTTAGCACTTGTTGGCCCCTTTGCCTTCACTCTGCGGTCCAGCTCACCCCAAACCATCTCGATTGGGTTCAGGTCCGGTGACTGTGGAGGCCAGGTCATCTGCCGCAGCACTCCATCACTCTCCTTCTTGGTCAAATAGCCCTTACACAGCCTGGAGGTGTGTTTGGGGTCATTGTCCTGTTGAAAAATAAATGATCGTCCAACTAAACGCAAACCGGATGGGATGGCATGTCGCTGCAGGATGCTGTGGTAGCCATGCTGGTTCAGTGTGCCTTCAATTTTGAATAAATCCCCAACAGTGTCACCAGCAAAACACCCCCACACCATCACACCTCCTCCTTCATGCTTCACAGTGGGAACCAGACATGTGGAATCCATCCGTTCACCTTTTCTGCGTCTCACAAAAGACACGGCGGTTGGAACCAAAGATCTCAAATTTGGACTCATCAGACCAAAGCACAGATTTCCACTGGTCTAATGTCCATTCCTTGTGTTTCTTGGCCCAAACAAATCTCTTCTGCTTGTTGCCTCTCCTTAGCAGTGGTTTCCTAGCAGCTATTTGACCATGAAGGCCTGATTGGCGCAGTCTCCTCTTAACAGTTGTTCTAGAGATGGGTCTGCTGCTAGAACTCTGTGTGGCATTCATCTGGTCTCTGATCTGAGCTGCTGTTAACTTGCGATTTCTGAGGCTGGTGACTCGGATGAACTTATCCTCAGAAGCAGAGGTGACTCTTGGTCTTCCTTTCCTGGGTCGGTCCTCATGTGTGCCAGTTTTGTTGTAGCGCTTGATGGTTTTTGCTACTCCACTTGGGGACACATTTAAAGTTTTTGCAATTTTCCGGACTGACTGACCTTCATTTCTTAAAGTAATGATGGCCACTCGTTTTTCTTTAGTTAGCTGATTGGTTCTTGCCATAATATGAATTTTAACAGTTGCCCAATAGGGCTGTCGGCTGTGTATTAACCTGACTTCTGCACAACACAACTGATGGTCCCAACCCCATTGATAAAGCAAGAAATTCCACTAATTAACCCTGATAAGGCACACCTGTGAAGTGGAAACCATTTCAGGTGACTACCTCTTGAAGCTCATGGAGAGAATGCCAAGAGTGTGCAAAGCAGTAATCAGAGCAAAGGGTGGCTATTTTGAAGAAACTAGAATATAAAACATGTTTTCAGTTATTTCACCTTTTTTTGTTAAGTACATAACTCCACATGTGTTCATTCATAGTTTTGATGCCTTCAGTGAGAATCTACAATGTAAATAGTCATGAAAATAAAGAAAACGCATTGAATGAGAAGGTGTGTCCAAACTTTTGGCCTGTACTGTACATATTTATTCATTGAGTTTCCATAACTGATTATCCTGGTAGAGGTCACAGGGGTACTGGAGCCTATCCCAGCTGACATTGGGCGAGAGGCGGGTACACCCTGGACAGGTCACCAGACTATCACAGGGCTGACACATAAGGCCCGTTTCCACTGAAGAAGTTCCTGGTACTATTTGGAGGGCAGGAACTTTACAGGAATGTCCTCTTGCTCTGCCCTCTCAACCGCCGTGTCTCCACTGAGAGGCCGGAGTAGGAGGAAGGTTCCTGCAAAGTTACCGGGCTCTGGATGTGACATAATCGTTGCGCGTCTGCTGAGTTTTAAAATTGCCGGCTATTTTGTCACTTTCTGTTGACGTCAGATCCCGCCTTGAGTATATCCAATCAGCACCAAGTAATCCCCAAGCCCCACCCAGGAGTTTTCCGGGCCGTCCTGAGTACCTACTCCAAGGCAGGGACTTGTTTAGCCCCTGTAAAAGTTCCGGAACTCTGTCCTTCGGGGGTGGTTCCTGCAGTGGAGAAACGCACCAATGGCCCCCCGGCCCCGTAAAATTACCCCGAAGTTCCTGCGCTGGAAACGGGCCTATTGAGATAGACAACCATTCATGCTCACATTCACACCTATGGCCAATTTAGAGTCTCCAATTAACCTGCATGTCTTTGGACTGTGGGAGGAGGCCGGAGTACCTGGAGAAAACCCAAGCTAACAAGGACAGAACATGCAAACTCCACACAGAAGGGCTCCCCCACCCTGGCGTTGAACCTGGAACCCTCTTGATATGAGGTGACAGTACTTACCACTGCACCACCTAGCAATATACAGTTGGGTTTTGTAACATCATTCTTCCAAAACATATTCCCTCATTTGGTGTTTTGATGATGGTGGTGCAGAGCGCTGTCTGACTTGGTCCAAAATCTCCCCTATCTAGTGACTGAGAAGGACATATCGTATGATTTACATCAGTTTCATTGTCATCAGAATGTTCGGTGAACCCTCCCGTGCCCTGTGGATGGGGATATTGTCATCCTGGGAGAGACGACACATCATGTCTCCTCAAAAGACAGAGTCGCTTTGATCTTTTCCTCTGTCGTTTTGTTCCAAAATCAAAGTCAGCCATGCCTGCTCTGCACTTTGACACATGGCCAAAATAAATCATGCAGTACATGTGTGTGGCCACTCAATTATTCAGATTTTTACTTTTTAATTTGCTGCCTGACTGTTGGAAGATATGCCAACAACACATTGGGGTTTCATAGATTGCATTTTTTATTTATGTATACAACATTTTTTGAGATATTTTTATTTTTAGTTTATTTTATACAATCCTTCAATTTTACCACAGTTTACTGCTCAACTTCAACTATAAACAATCCTGCAAAATACACTAATAACCTAATTAGAGAAATCTTTGCCAAGCATGTATCTCTGTTCCATATATATACATTTTTTAAAACATTAATTTAATAATCAACAGGAAGGCAATCCAGGCACTCTGAAAAAGAGGCCATCACATGACTCATACAATGGCATGACAGGTGAAACAAATAGACAATAATGAAAAATAACATGTTCATTAAAAAAAAACCCACAGTGACATGAGATAAGATACCCAGAAAAAAAACACATTTAAATATATACACACCTATCTTAACCCATAGGCTGTGAGAAAAATGGCAAAGCGTGTAAAGAATAATGACAAATCACTAAAACTTGTGAAGTCTGTATCCTCATTGAGACTAGTATACCTTAAAGCAACCAGTGGATGGATCCAAAAAGCTTCCCTTCTGTCAACCCCCCTGACCAAAAGTTTATTGTGTTCAATGCCCTCTATGCGTAAAAGGGAGCAGCATGAAATTCACTGAAATGATTTTTTGTTCTAATGGCATATTTATTGGGTGGCACGATGGTGCAATGGTTAGCACTGTCGCCTCGCAGCAAGAGCATGTTCTCCCCATGTCAGTGTGGGTTTTCTCTGGGTACTCTGGCTTCCTCCCACAGTCCAAAGATGGTTAATTGGTGACTTTTTGGCAGTAGGTGTAAATGTGAGCATAAACGTTATCTGTCTCTAGGTGTCAGCCCTGCCATAGCCTGCAATCTGTCCAGAATGTACCTTGCCTCTCACCCAGTGTCAGCTGGGATAGACTCCATATCAGTTAATAATGCTAAAAAGAAATATTTAATGTCTGAATATCAAAATCTGTTTTTTATTAGTCTAAAATATCATCATTGCATCGGCTTAAATGTGTACTATGCAGGATTTTTGTAGAAGACAATGTATAGTCTCACACAAAAGTAATGTCTTTTAATCAGCACCTATGACCCGCAAGAGGTGTGTGGCGGTGTATTTATCTGCAGAGCCTCTGCCCTCTGCTTGTATTTCCTTATTTTCATTACAACGTTCCTGAGCACAGCGCACAGATAAGGTCAGGACTTTATAAACAGGTAGCAACCAAGCTGTCTACGAAAATTGTGAACACAGAGTAAAAGAAACAGGACTTTAGCAAAGCGAAACACCAAGAGCACAAAGCTAGGGTTGGCTGTCATTAGCAACAGACAGTTTCTGCAAAGTGTACCTTTAAATACCCAACACCGGTCAGGCTTTACTTATAATGTTCTTGTAAGTTATGGAAACTTTTAAGGCTGTGATTTACTGTCAATATGGATTGCCTCACGTTATAAAGTAAAAGGATTCCTGTTATTCTGCCCACACAAATGTCTCTTTCTTAAGTAAATGCTTAAAACCAGCATTTTTGTTTTGTTTTTGGAGGTTAAAATGCAATATTCTTTCTCTTTCTATCACTGCAGGTAAACAGTGTATGGGCCTGGTAGACTTGGACCGCTCGTGGGCAGCAGAGACTCATGGGTATTCGGTGCGGGTGATGACTATGGAGCCTGAAAGCTGTTCACCAAAGAACAACATGCTGGTGGGAAAGCCTCTGCACACGAGTGGACTGGAAGTCTGAGCTAACCAAGTGGAAGCGCTGGTGCATAATTAGGACTTCAAGTGCTGGTGTACAGCAGAGCATCTTCACTGTAGTCAGGGTTTGATAAAGCACCAGGCCTGTGTGGCTCCTGGCTGTGTCATCATGGTGCTGAGAATACAACTATTTTTTACCCTCCTTCTATGTTTTCTTCTTCTTTTTTTATATGGCCTTGAAAAATAAGACATTCTTACTCTCATTATTTCTGGACTAGCAAAAGTCATCTTCTCAAATCTTCAGACTAAAGGTAAAAGCAATAGTGCCGTGATTTTTAATGTGATCAACGTGTGGAAGAGGGCTCCGCGAGAGCTGCTCCTCTCCCTTGTTAAATGCGTTCAATTATTGGACGCTTAGTTGTAGTAAAAGCTCGAAGTCTCTCACCAACTGCTACGTTGCGTTTGTGTCTTTGCCTAAACTGTGTGATCAAGCTGTCAGCGTAAACAGAAGCAGCAGGAATTACACACCCACATTGCGAATTAAGAACAGCATACTTCCACATGCTGTTTTTGCAAATAGTCTGTATACGGCCTTCTGTGATAGAACTCTGCAGTCAGCTCCCTCTGTTGCCAGGTATTAGGAGAAGAAAGGGAAATTTGGCACTTAAAAGTCATCTGCACTTAAAGATCAGATGTGGAATTACCATCATCTACCTCTCCTGTGCATGTGTGTGTGTTTGTGAGGGACTGGCAGAGAGAGAGATTGGGATATAGAAAGAGGGGAATTGGATTGAAACTCATATCATATCAGGTGAAATATAGTATTTGTCATGGTTCTACAGAGAAACTGATTATTCCTCATAAAGAATGAATGTGAATATGGTATGCATGTCGTAATACGTTCAGCAGCAATGAATATTTTATGATGCTGGGGAAAAGGTCAGTGTGCTTGATTTGATGCGCACTATTCAGAGCCTAGTAGCCGAGAGTCACACAATGCGCTCCGTATTTCCAATCCTGTAGACTTTAGACACACTGTAGCCCACTAAGCTTTCATTCTTCCAGGTGAAACCGGTCATCTGTTTCCCTGAAAAATCCTGTGTTGTCACTTTTGACAGAGCGTCGCCGCTGCTTGAGAAATCAGGGGAGGTAGCCACAGAGCCAGTTTTCCCGTTCATTCCAAAAGGATAGGCGAGAGAGAGAGGCGGAGGCTTTTCCAGCGTGGAGCTCATCTGAATTCAGTCAGCAGAGTCAATCTATCCCGAGGTGAATGGCCAGACACAGCTCCTTCCAAGGACTGGAATTATTTCAAAAGGAGATGTCTGACTCCCTGTTCATGTTTGTGGCTCTGCACAAGTGCACATTACAGAAATTCATATAGGCACAAAGGACACGAGAGAGAGAGTAGGTGGCGCTACTTAAAGCTCGTATAGGAGATGGAATACAAAGGTGTGAAGTGGGTCGATTGAACCCAAACACTTGAAGCTGGAAGGTGGCTAAACAAGATTATTTGTTTAGACAAAATAGGCAAGATGTCTGAGCTCATTTCTGTGTAAGTGCACAGCATTTCTTTACTAATGGTAATGATACACTGAGCTGAATGCTTTTTTTTAAATGTGTATTTAACTGATTGGCCTCATTACAAAAGTTAACAAGATGTGAGCTGAACCTGAAACAAATGATTTATTAAAAGTTTTTTTTTTTTTTTTTCAACAAAAGGAACCTGTGATTAATTAAATCAAATGTAATTGCATATGTAAAGGAGCAGTGTGCGGGATGTAGTGGCATCTAATTTATATACTTTATTAATCCCCTGAGGGGAAATTCAGTGTTTTCACTCTTTTTGTCATCAACACACAGGTGTGAAAGACACACACATGCACAAACAGGACCTATACATGCACAAAGTGGAGAGATGTCAGAGTGAGGGGGGTGCCCTTTGGTCAGGTGCCCCGAGCGGCTGGGGGGTTCGGTGCCGCTGCTCAGGGGCACCTCGGCAGTGCCCAGGAGGTGAACTGGCACCTCTTCAGCCACCAGTCCACGCTGCATATTTGGTCCAGATGGGGACTCGAACAGGCAACCCTCTGGTTCCCAACCCAAGTCCCTATAGACTGAGCTATTGCCGCCCCCTAGCGGTGAGGACTGCAGATTGCAGCCAGCTGAAACTTCTCCCATGTGCCAAGCGTGAACTCTCGGTTAGGATCTCCTCAGTGTCCATTGTTCGGAAGGTTTTTACCAGTGTGCTGTCCTTCTCCAAAACTATCGGACCGAGGGTATATAATTGGTAAACATCCTTAAAAAAGCAAGTTTACGTGACAAATCAGTGTTTCTCCAATGCTGTTTGGCTAGTCACATACGGGCCACTAGCCAAGCACCTGCCACTGTGTGCTCTTGTATTTTCTCTGATAACTGAAGATCCAGACTTTCAGGAGGTTTTTTCCTGTAGCAGAATTATCTGTAGAAGTCTCTGCCTCTCCAAAACAAACAGACCCGGTGATTTAAAATGGTAAAAACGCTGAATAAAGCAATTTCACATTTAAAAAAATCAATGTTTTTCTAGCGCTCTCGTTGCAGAGGAGCTGCTATTTAAGGTGGCTAACAAAAATGTAAATGGCCCTATCTTGAGCCAGTGTTTGGATTGTCCGTTCTGGGCTACTGTACAAACAAGGATATCTCTGAAGACAAAAACCAGCTACCTATGTCGGTATAAACGACTCATTCTAAGGTAATAAAAACACAATTATTCTTATTTTCAGCTGATTATACACTAAAAAAATACTTATTATATTAAAGTCTGCCAATATTTTCCCTTAAATCCTACACACTTGACCTTTAAAGGAACAGTGTATGGGATTTAGTGGCATCTAGTGGTGATAATTACACATTGCATCCAGCTGAAACTTTTCCCAGCTAGGACTCCTTCAGTGTTCATTGTCCTGGAGGGTTTCACCAGGAGCTGAATTATCCACAGAGGTCTCTTGCTCTCCAAATCAAACACACCAGATGATCTAAATTGGTAAGACTGAATAAAGCAGTTTCGCATTATAAATTATTGTTTTTCTAATTTTGTGTGGCTCGTTGTGGAGGGGCTGCTAACTACGATGGCTGACACGATAATGCAAATGGCCCTATCTAGAGCCAGTGCTGGTTTGTCCATTCTGGGCTACTGTAGGTAACAGAAATACAAGGATTATTTTCAGGTTATTATACACAGAAAATATACATATTAAATGTCTCCCAATATCCCTCTAAACCCTACACCCTGGACCTTTAATGTGAGAGTAATCTTTATGTAAATGCTGATATTTGGCATTAAAATAATCATTAACACTGATGTAAAACTCAGTGGACTCTCCTCACCATTCATGCCTGTTTTCAAAAGCAGCTCCGAAACGGAACAATTTGTTGCTGCAGCAAACCTCCACCAGCAAATAATGGCTCTCTCATTGTTTTATTAACTTCATGATTACTTGTAATTAAAATTCAGCTGATCTTGGTTTTCCACTTCATTACACTGGCAGCGTATGTGGCTGTTTGTCTGCAACAGTTCGCTGCTCCATATTTGGGGTCTCTCTCCCTGTTGGCATGATGTTTCCCTTTTGACAAACAGTGACCTTGTTTATGTGTTTGGTTACTATAACAGGCAGTGATGTAGAGTACAAGCCCAGATGGAATAGATACAAGGGGCCTCCGCTGCCCTTTCAATTATCTCAAATATCATGTTTTTACTGTGTATTTACCATTTTAACTTGCATTACCAACAATGATTCATTTCACTTGTGTATTTTTTCTAATAAACAACGTTGAGCATAATTATAGAAGTCTGGAATAACAACAAATTATTATTCACACGTTTCCTCTTTGGTTGCCTGGAGCTGCTGCAGCTGCTGCTATTGTTTGCACCCTAATAATGTTGTAAACTATTCCCCAGTGCTTCTCATCACATCTGCTGTCACCTTGTATACCCCCAGTTTAGAATCCCCATACTTATATTCTTTTTTTTTTGGTAATTATTTCCTACTTGAGTCTGCTGTAGCATTGTCTGCTCAGAATGTAACATAATGACTCATTTCCTCCATGTATTCACCCAAATCACAAAAAAATAATAATATATATTTTTTAATTCATCCCTGATGGTTGACAGCATCTGTTGTGGTTAATCCAGGGTAATCAAGACATAAAGGCGCACAGACTGACCAATCATAACGTAGCATCAGGTCGGCTCAGACCAGGGTCCAACAACACAGCTGTGCTCCAGATTTTCCTTCAGATTTCCTTCATTTTCAGGCTGGTTTTGTGGATTTGGAGCTAAATGTTGTGCCTGGGGCACGTCGTGTATTAATGATACTCATTACCTGGAGAGGTTGGAAAAAGATATACGTTTCAAAACCCTGTTCCAAAACCAAAATCAGACCCTGAAAAGTGTAGGGTTAGCTAGCTAGCTACTGAAGATATAGCCTACTGAATGTATACACATGCTGCTTTTGCTTTGTAATGATTATAACAGTAAAAAAAACAGACCAACCCTGCTGTACAGGAACCAGTGAAGGGAAGCAGGGAAGCTTTGCTGATTTGAACCAGCTGTGTGTCATCGCATTGTGCGCAGATGAACACTGTTTGTCTTCCCCCGGAGCTCCCCAGCAGTCCAGCGGCAGAGATCCAACTGCTTGAGGTGGCACGGGGGCGAAGCCAAACACTGTTCATCTGCACACACTGTGATGCCACACAGCTGGTTCAATATCAGCAAAGTTTTCCTTTATATTCATTGTCTTGTGTGGCGATCAGCGGTGATGTGGTGGTTCACTTTTACACTGTGATCTGTAGCCTATAGTTCGGCTTTAGCTTCTAACTATCTTTGTCTTTTTAACCTGTTGTTGCTGCTGAGTCAGTTTGACATCCTGGATATATCCTTCAAACACAGACTGTAGACCCCTCTGTTTCCAGCTGTGATAATATCTCTTCAGGGAGTGCAGTTAGTTACAGTGTGGGCTCCATGCTTGCTCCGACAGCTTATCGGACCATCGTGAAGGGCCGGGGCTTAGTGAATGGTCAGTTTCTTTATAATGTCTTCAGACATTTCCTGGAATGAACCATAAAATATGACGGTAATAATTAGTAAAATACTGTATATTCAGTGGTTAATTGATGCTCCTTCCAATTACTTAATTTAAATTAAATTTTAATAAGGAGTCTCGGTACAAAGCAGGTGAGCTAATCATGCAAAAAATCTGAAATTTGCCAACAAACACTTCAACATATACAATCTAAGAGAATTTGTTTGCAATAATAATTGAAGTGATTATTTGGGGTTAAATGGAGCTGCTCCAAACTAAAATAACTTTGTCTTAGAGGTGAGCATCTCCAAACTTCACAAGGTAAAACTGAAAAACTGAAGAAAGAAACTGTGTTAACTTTGAAGAGTTGGTGACCGGGCTGCCTTGAAATGTAAAGTGGACTAATTTTGAGAGGACAAGTTCAGCTAATTTTATAATGATTGAACTTTTGTTCTCAAATTTAAAAAAAAAAAAAAAAAAAAAAAAAAGATATAGTTTCTTTAAACAGTGTTTTCATAGCTAGATACCACTCGAGATTAGTGAGTCAATATGTGCTTTTGTGTTTTGGGTGTACTGTCCTTCAAAGTTTCATAAGATCAATCTTAGTTCTCCACAACATACCAATATTATTGATAATGTGGCATATCTTGGCAGATCTACACAACCCATAACTATTTCTTAAATGTAATAAATCATCATGGAATCACATTGTTACAGTCCAGTCATAAAAACGTGATTAATAGTGTAATTATACGCAACTGGCGTTTCTCCGATCACTTGCTTCTAGAGATGTTAAACCTCTGTGCTGCTGCATGGATTTATTATCAGATCGCTGACAGGGCGTAACAAGGCAACAGTGCCATGTATCAAAAGACGACGCTGACTGTGAACAACCAGCAGTAATCATATCAAACCTTCATTTCATCCATCTCCTGCTCCATTACGGAAAATGATGGCGTTTAGTTACCCTGTCATTTCCTTTTTTCCCCTCCTCACCCCTACCCCACACTCTTGCTATTGAGAATTATTTTATTGACTGACTTCTCTGATTCTGAAGTCTGAAAATGAGGCAGACCTTTATTATTCTGCCCCCCAGACAGGAAGTGCAATTCACCAGACTTTGAATATGAAGTGCTGCCTTTGAGTCAGGCAGGAGATAATTACTCTGATAGAATCAGACCTAGCCTCATGTTGGAGAATGAGCATTATAAAGACCAAGCAATTTCATGTATGGTGTGCATCCAGTGTTCAAGATGTTGTACAAAGGGTGATGAAGAAATTGCATTCAAGAGAGACAGCAGTTTGCACCTTCTTAAATAGACAAAATATCTGACACAAAGCAGAGACACAATCTGAAGCTGGGATTGTTCATGCCAAAAAAAATATTTCAGTCAAGCCCCCTCACATCACTTGTGTTTTTATTTACCATAATTACAGGTGCAGTAAAAGCCTTTCTATTCACCAAGCACTCTGGAAACAGTGTCAAACCACTCATTTAGTATTTTGTGCTGCTTATCTTTTCGTCCTCTCCAAATTCAGCCCCAGTAATTTCCAACCGTATTGTCTTTACTGCGTGAGCAACATCTACCTGGGTGGGCGATGCACCTGCGTGTCTCAGCAGGCTACGCAATTAATTAAGGCATTTCCAAAGCATGCGCGGCACGGAGCTGCATCTGGAGCCTCTTCCTCTGGGCTGTGCGGGTCATTATGTTACATGTAAACTCCCACTCGTGCGGCTGGGTGGATATCCGCGGTGTTCTGACCGCTGGTTATTTAAAAGACGGGAGAGACGAGGTCTGACTGCAGCGGGTGCTGTTGTTGGTCGGAGAGCCCGCTGACTGAACTTGTGAGGAGAGGAGGAGAGAGGGAGCTGTGCGCTCTCTTCCCGGCAGAGTGCGTCCCGCTCCGCACACACACATATACACATCCACACACGCACACACACACACACATACACACACATCGGGGTCACTCTACTTTCAGGCAGCGGACTGGTTTCCACTCCCGCACCTCCTGAATATCGCACATGAACAGTCTGAAGGACGTCAGCAGACATTTCCTACCTGTGCGCCTTCAGCGTGCGTCACAGAAACTCTGCTGTTTCTTCGTGTTAATTGTTTCCTCCGCGGTTTCCCATCCGGTGATTTTGGATTACGGAGAATAACAAGCGGCGTGGAGCGCGTAACTCTCCGCAAATCATGGATTTATGGATAAAGTTGATGTTGTTGTGCAGCTGCTGCTTTGGAGCAAGTGCAGACTTTGATGGCAGGTAAGGGCGCATGGTTCACATTGTCTGCTAGAGCCGATGTTTTTGTGCAATAACTGGTTTTCACTAAAAGCGTGCATCACAGTTCAGTCCATTTACAGGCTGTTTCTGCAAAAACTGCGCCTTTGGTAGCGCTTGTTGGAATCGCAGGCATTATTTTTAAGATGTCCAAACTGCGAGGCTCATTTTACATGTGAGTGAAAACATGTTGCTCCCGTGAAATTATGTGCACCCTGTGAGTACTGATGTGTGGTGCTGGCGAATCAACCTAACTTTTATTCTGATGAAAACATTAATAATCCAAGTGCATCCAAGCCTGCGCCTCGGAGCACGAACATCCTGCTGTAGTAGGCAGGGTTCACGTGCAAAAGAAACACACCAAGCGGTTCTTGTCTTGTGCAGATATCAGGCAGATTATAAAGTGATGTGACAGCACATTGCCCGGTGCTTCATGTTCAAACACGAATCAGATGAAGTATGTGAAGACAGAGGAGTGGAGACGTGCCAGACCCCAAAGAATGCATGTGTCCGAGATATCGATCTGCCTATAGGTGCATCTGAGTTAATGAGCATGATTGATGCTTTTTTTCTGTCTCTGTCTGTCTCTCTTTTACAACCATGCATCAAACCAAGTTGTAATTTAGGTGTAAAAAAATTCTTTGAAGCAAGTAGATGAAAAGCATCTTTCCAGATTGTTTGTGCAAAGTAATGACACCAGACATGGTAATTGGCAAAATGCTCTGTTCCCTTTTTTGCTTTCACAGTTTAAAGAGGTGTGTTAAATCGACACTATATTTCATCTCTTATTGTGTGCCATATTGAGGTGGATTTCTCGAGCTCAGAATAAAATTGGACTGAAGACCATCCAAACAGTGAGAGTTACACAAACAGAGCCCTTACTGCCAAATTCCCTACATCTCCAACAGAGAATGCAGCCAAGTATTGTACTTTATTTTTCCTCATGTATCTCTGTCAGACAGGCTCAGCCCCAAAGCAGGATCCTCTCTCATGTTTCACTTTTTCAAATGAATGGAAAAAAACTTTTTGAAGATTATTGGAGGTAATTGTTATTGAAATACCGTGCACACATTTCAAAGAGTCCCTTTCAGACTGACTGCCATTCCACCTGCTTGTTGATAGACTTTGACATCTGGAGGTATATAGCCTTTTTCCCCCTCCTTGGCTCTTTCAATTCAGTTTTCTGCTGCTGTGTTCAAAAGTATTTCAAAAGGAAGCGATTTGGATATCAAAGGTTTCAGCAAGAAGTAACAGTGTGTGAGAGAGAACAGAGGAGAGGGCAGAATAGTATAGAACATTTAAATAAAGCATTTGCAAGTGCATACAATGTTTTTGTTGTTCAGGACTTTGTATTTTCTTAATCTGCATGGCTAATGTGTGTGTGACAGGCCGTGGTCTGATGAGATGTGTAGGGCTTTAACTTTTATTTCACGCTTGCCTTTGTGTAATGATCATTTACTTTAACCTCGCAGCAGCAGCATATTGTACATTATTAACATCCCTGCTGATGGAGTGCCTTGTCACCATGGCCATAATTTGCCAATTTTTATGGGTATAAACTTTCCCGGGCCCGAGTCTCTGCCTCAATATTAATTCATTGAGAGAATATCCCCCGAGACAGAGCACAAGCAAAAAAGCCATTTATTACCTGGTCTCTCTCACTTATTGCCTTTTAGAGAGCGTTCCTAACAGGCTTATCCATCTAGTCCTGAAGGGTCCTTCACGGGCATCATTGGCAAGATCATTTTGTTCTCCCATAGCTGCACATAATGTGCTTACCTGCAAATCTGTTGCTAAAAACACTGTGTGTTGTTGTTGCCACTCTTTATTCCACCCAAGGATTCAGTGGAAACGATGGCCGACTTCCTGTCATGTAACATAGAGGCCTGAATGTAAGGCAGCACATACAGTAGAGGATATTCTTCCCTGGTGATGTCACTAAATTGTTAAGTGCAACGCAGCCAAGCAGCACATACCAGACCTCCTCAGTAATAATCCAAAGCCGTGGACTGTTGCCAGGTTATGTTGGCGTTGTAATACCAGACCCACATTTGGGCTTTCAGGGGTTGAGAATGAGTGCGAAAACACTGTTCAAGTCACATTTTATGGGCAGCCCAACAGTGTGAAGTAAAAAATAATGCATTTTATAGTTTCCTCAGTGTTCATCATCAAGCTTATGTCAAGGTAATAATGAAGAAGGGACATCTTTACGAGGAGTCACAGAGGAGATTTAAAGTGTAACCTTGCCTTGTGTTTTCTTAGAGAGAACAATCAGTGAAGTCAGACTCCTCTGACTGACAGCTCAGTGAGAAACATGCATTCAAGTGCTGTACTTCAGTAAACAAGACACATATCCAGGCCCCAATGGAAAAGTCAGTATACAAACAGCACTTCAGGTTACGACTGAACATAACTTCTCTCACTGCTATTTTGTTGTCATTTTTACTGAGCAGACAGGACAGCTCGGGAGTAAGTGGAAACATTACAATGTATTGTAGTGCTACTTGGACAATGACGCCTCCTACTGCCACTCAGTCATGTAATGTAAAGTATGTTGTCGTTTAAATATACTGACACAGACATTATGTTGCTCCAGAGGGGGGAAAGCAACAGTTGCAGGAAGGTCAGGTGGCTCGTTGCCAGAGTCTGCTTCACAATACACTCTGTTACCAGATACTTGTGCATTGCAATGCAATTCAGCAGTCGTGTGATAAATACTAGATTTGTATAGCAGCAATTATTGCTAACGCTGAACCAGAGTTGATTATGTTGTAATTTGTGAGGCTGTGAAATGAAAACACCGCTGAAGTCAGGACGGAAGAGACACCGCCCGTCTCCTGCTGATTCTCAGGATACATCTAGACGTACTTAGAAATGTTTCATTCCATTTACAAGAAAACATCCAATAAGCACTTGTATTGCAACACTCAACAGGCTCTTAGCAGTTTGTTTAGAAAGAGTGCACTTAGAATTGTTAACAGCATCTACCTCGTGTTCCTACAAAGGTTGCATGCACTTATCGTAAGTCACTGAAGACGAAAAGACCTGCAAAGCAATATAACATAGTGTGAAAAAGAAAAGTAAAGGTATTGCATTGTGTTGTAAGGTGTTTTCAACATTTTCCCTCTCTATAGATGTGAGTGAGGTGGACATCTTTCAGTATGGTGCTCTGTTGAAGTGTGCAGCCTTGAAATTGCCACAGAATTGAGCCGACACACATACTCCGACATCACAAGTATCAACACGGACATTTTTTGTAGTGTTTATTGCAGGGCCATTGTTTTGCATCGCCTTACATCATACTAGGTGTTTTTATTTTTCTGGCCACTCAGTGAATACCTTCCACTATGTCTGCGTTGTGTAGAAAAGCATTTTCTTAATAGGCCAGCTGATTACTCAGTTTAAATCCCACACAGTGCTGTGTGCTAATGTGATAGACTTGGCAGTCTGCTTGCGGATATGGCAGCCCGTGCAGCCGAGGTGCTTCATTAAGACTCCAGACACCTTATGACTCCACAAGCTCATGCCTTCAGCTGAGCCCAGCAGGTCCGAGCAAGTCTTTCACACCGAGGCGCTACAAATGCAGCAATCAACATCTATGGGTGTTTGTGAGAGAAATCCGTTACGGTTTGCATGCTTTAGTATGGATTCATGGATGGATGATGGATAGATAGATTAAATTATATACCTTCACGGTCCCAATTATCACGCTACACTCCACACTGCTCCTCTGAGCGATGGACTGACTACTTCTCACTGTCAGGCAGGGGAGATCGGCCAGCTCTGTATCCATTAGTAAAACAATGGAAGAAGGATGGCATCCCCATAGTGAATATCATCCTCTCAGGTTCTCCTGGATGAACCTTGTCTGATAGTGAGTGCTTGAGAAGAGGTGTCACACGGCATGCGTGAAGGGTAATAATTATCTGCTTGAGTTCCTTCAAGGCTTAGTGTAATTTAGGATCATTATTCAGAGCCCCAGGGTAATAAATACAGGTATTATGCTCAAGTCCATTTGATATGCCAGCTTTCTGTTCTGTAGAATATCACTGGGGACAAGATGTATTAGAAAAAAAAGCTCTTCTTTTTTTGTGCAGTGTCACCGCACTCCCATTGTTGATTGAGGTTTGTCATAATTTTTAAGCCACAGATGTTGTAAGAAATCAAAAATATGCATTCACACTGGCTGCGGTGTTGGTGTGATGAATTGGTATGCTGGCGAATTGTATTAAACCCCCAGTTTCAAGTTCAGAGCGCGTTACGGTGCACAACTGCCTCCGGCTAAATTCAGCTTGAAGAGAGGACTGTGAGACGCAGTGAGAACATGAAACTGGATTCCTGATTCACTATGCGCATGTGTATTTATATATATATATATATATATGTGTGTGTGTGTGTGTGTGTATGTGTAGGAGAAAGCATGAGAGGAAAATATTTGATTCAGTAATCCAGGACCTGTTGCATCTCATGCGCTTACTGTCTCCTTAACGCTCCCACAGCCCCTAGCAGACCTGCCAGACGCCTCTCGCCCACCATCCACTGGGAGCCCTGTAGGATTTCAAACTCTGCTTCCTTGTTTAAAGTCTGAGCTCAGAGTCAAATGCCATGCCCTTATGATCCTGACATGTCAAAAAAAACGTATTACAAAACTTTATTTTTGTTAAACTCCTCGGGGCAAACAAAATACCAGCTCCACCACATTATCACTTCCTGCTACTGGAAGAAGTAAAAATTCAGTTGTCAAAATAAACTACTGACTTTTTCTCAGTTGATTGTTATGGCTACCTCATCTGTCTGTTGCATTTCATCAAACTTAATCTCTTTTGGACATCGATTTACAAAGAATAGGGCTGCAGCTGATGGTTATTTTCAGTATTGTTTAATCTGCCTGTTATTTTCTCAAGTTGTGGTTTTGGTCTTCAAAAAGTCAGAAAATAGAAAAAGAGACAGACTGACATTTACAAATTGCTTGTTTTGTCAGACCA